GGCCGTATGAAATGAACGCACAACATCAGAAAGTGATGTCTGATGAGTTGCAATGATCACCCAGATGTAACCAGCTAGTCACACCTGAGCAATCCTGGCCAGCTCAACACATGGTTACGTCCTATGTACAAGTCATGCTCAAACTGTTGAATGAAGAAGGTGTTCTATTCTATGAAATCAATCGCATTTGATGTTCAAAACTGCTTACATTCAGCAAATTGATTCGTTCTTCCTGAGGTGTGAAACGATATTCTGGTGTATTGCGATTCGAGTATGTTGCCAGTCGACATAGTGTTCGAAACATTGGACGGAATTTTCTCAGCTGAAAAATTCTCTTCCAATTCAACATTTCAGACTTATAAAATATCGGTTTTAGGAAATCAGACGAATTAAGATCTGTGGATGATCTCTTGGTCAGTTACAAGCGACTAGTGACCCAGAATATGCACACGATAAGGTTGTTGAAAGAGCACTAACCTTCGGATCGTTAGCTTCAGTGTAACCGATAACGTAAAGTCCAAGTTGTACGGCATACAGTGAATCATCACTAATTCGCATCGAGTGGTCCATTTGAGTATAATCGGGATTCGTGAAATTACGAGGATACCACGACAAGGGCATCGTCTTAAATTACACACTCTCAACTGCATTATTCAAGCGATTTCATCAATACGCTAGCCTCACAACGTTTACAAGAACCTCGCTGATCCCTTCCAAAAACTATCCAATAAAACAAGCATAAATGGTTCAAAATGTCGTCTAGAATTCTATCAGTCAATCCCAATTACTTGGACGATAATCAAGTGAAATTGTATCCCTTAGGCAAGCTCAAAAATATTTTCAGTGCTTGACATAATCATTATTTCATCAATTGATCACATCTCATCGTGTCAACTGCAACGATCAGTTATTGAATCCTGGATGAGCAACACACATGAATGAACCATTTCGTGCTCTTTTTTCCTATTTATTACTTCATTATGTTAAGAAACTACTTTGAAGTGTATACCGTTTGTTTAATGGGATTATTGAACCAGTTGTATATATTACCAATATCGATTCTCATCGGATCAAGAGTCGGTGGA